CGCACAGCAACATCTCATCTCTGCACCCACGGGGGTGATGGGGAAGGCTGCAGAGCGGCGAGATATGGGCTCTTTGGAGGAAGGAGGGAGTTTTTCTCAGCCACATAACTACACCCCAATTTTATTTATAAAACAGCTGTCCCTCAGTTGTTATTCTGTCCAAGCACAGATGCAATTACTTGTAATATCCTACGCTGTGAAGATTTGAGGAGATCAGGAGGAGGAGAAGCTTCTTTCGGTGCATGTCCATTAGCACACAGTTTGTTTTCTCAAGGTGTCCCAGCAAAAGGTGCGGCGCGGAGCCCGCTGGGGAGGGCACACAGAGCAGCGCCCGTGCTGCTGAGAGAAAGGAAGTGGGAGGTTAGCTGTCTGCTAGCTGTTTCGTTGCTTGGTAAGCGAGTCCCTGCATCTGACATCACCGGCACATCCAGCCCCGTGGCTGCGTGCGGCTGTGCACCCACTGCTGCTCCTCTGCAGCTCTGTGTGTCTGTACCATCTGTACCACACTGAGCTCACGAGGACGTTTGTCAAAACTTTTTCTCCAAGCACGTGAGCAAGGAATCCACTCTGACTAGGGGAAAGGCACAAATCCAAGCCTGCTGGTCCCCTGCCGTGAAAGAACCGGACTCTCAGAAGCCGATCCCCTGGCTTCAGCCCTGCTCCTCCTGCCTGCTCCCTGTTACTGCTGCCAGGTGAGTCGTGCTCAGCAGAGGCAGCCAGCCCGGCTTCCCCCCTTCTGGGTGTTGTCACAGGAGAGGAGAGGGGGTGCAGGAGACAGCAGACATGCAGGAGGTGCAGTCCTTTGGTTGTAGGTGCTGGGCAGGCTCCTTGGTCCGGGTGGGTGGCACAGAGCTGCCCCGGGGCTGCCTTTGTGCGGACAGCGTGGTGCTGGGTGCTGCTGAGCTCCTGCCTTGTCCCGCCCTCCTACCTGGCTGCCAGGTGGAAGAGCCTCCTGGGGTTGATCTGCTGGTTCTCTGCAGAGAAAAGGAAGGAAAAGTTCGGGTTGTGAACTTAAAACTAAAACAGAAAACCTTGGGTTTTCAAGCGTTTTGCTGCTCCCTGGGGAGGGAGAGGAAGAGCCTTAGCGCTCAGCAGCAGGTGATGTCCCCGTGCCATGACAGCCTGGTGCACGGTTGTGGAAAAGCCCCAGCCGTGGCTCCTTTCTGCTGCTGTGTGCAGGAAACCCTGCACAGAAGGGCTGGGATGCAGTTTTGGGAGGGGTTGGCTGTTATCCTTGTCAAGGTGCTTGGCACTGTGTCCTTAGGGAGGGACAAATGCTGTCCCTGCCGGTAAAGCTGGGGGAAACTGAGGCCAGAAGGCCAAAAGTGCTTTCTGTCACGCAGCTTTCTGACCAGCCACCCCCTCAAATCAGTCCTCCTGCATAGCCTGCCAAATAAACTGTCCTGGCAGAGATGAGCAGTTCAACCGAAGCGTTAGGTCTTGCTGCTGGGGCTGTTCTTCAGAACCAGATGGTCACCTGCAAAACGGTGACAGTAATAATAATCCCCTGTGCTAAGGCTGTCTCTGCTTGCTGGTTCAGCCCCAGACCCCTCGGTGATGGGGAGCAGCGTGGGAGCAGATGGGGAACCCTGCTCTGCACACCCCACCTGGGACCTGCAGGTGCCCGTAGCGCAGAGGATCCGTTCCTGAAGCCCCAGCAGATCCACAGGAAGAGGTGACAAAACGTGAACAGCAAAGCAGGGCAGTTTAGGTGTGAATCTACATCCCGGAGTTTCTTTCTGAGCTGGTTTGGGACCGGAGCAGCAAAGCACTCGGTGGAGAGTGGCTTTGTGAGGCTGGTGCTGGCAGCCCGTGTTTGCTCAGCACCGTGCACGAGGGGCCCAGCGCAGGCGTGGCCGTGGTGCTAACAGCACCAACAACCCCGTGCAGCTCGGCGTTATCAGGAGGCAGGGAGGGCCCTGAAACCAAACCCTTGTGTGTACCTGCTCGGTTCCACCTCTGCCTGCCTGCAGCCTACTTAAGCAGCTTTTCCTGAGTGCCGCGTACCCGGCTGGCTGCGGGGATCTGCTGTCACCGCTCTGCCTGGGGGAGGTGAGTGCTGCCTTCTGCCTCCCTCAAACCTCCCAAATCTTCATTTTCCATCTCTCTGCCCTGTCTTTACGGATCAGACGCTTTTGGTAGTTTGCACTGGGAGTTCTTTGCAGCTAAGTCCATCTCTCGGTTTTCTGTGAGCAAAATAAGGAGATAGTTGGTGGGTATTGGGACAAGATGAAATTTAAACAGAAAAGAGTTTGTAATCTATGGGCGCTGAGTCTGTGACTTGGTTGCTGTAGGTAACTTCTGATCGTGGGTATCGCCACTGGGTATGCTGGGATTTGTTTTTTCATTAAAGTCCTTTGAGAGTGTGGAGGGGGGAAGAGACAGATCTGCTCTTCCCTACTGATAAGCGATCCAGCCTCTGTCCCTCAGCCTGAAATTCTCAGGCAGCTGGGGAGATGTACAGGTTCATGCTCCCCTCCCAGTGCTGGTTAATCGCTGCTGGAGGTGTTGCTAGGATAAAGGGAAGAAAAAAAAGTGTTTGTTTTGTTTCTTGTGCGTATGTGTGTGTGTGTGAGACATCATTTACTTAATGTTCATTTCCCTTAGGATAAATTTCCCTCCAAAGCCTGGACTACAGCAGCGAGGATCCCTGTAGACAGCAGACATTGCAGCTCCCTTCCAGGTCTAGCTTCAATAATTTTGTCTCGGGAGCCTGCTTCCTCCAGCTAACAGCATCAAACCTCACACTGCTGGAGGGCTGCAGCTTAAATTCCTACCCCAGGGCTGTCAGCCAGCTGGGCACCCATCGTAAAAAACGAACAAGGCTGAGACATCCTGTGTCTAGCCCACATCTAAGAAAGGTGGTTGCTGCCCCCAGTCGCTTCCTTGCCGACAGAGTGCAGGAGAAGTAACGCTGGGTGTAGCTGGGGCCTTGGTGCTCCTTTGAAGGATGTGTAGTGATTAAAAAAATCTGCTGCTCCCTCCCCTCTGCCGTTAGCTCGCTGTTTGACCTTGGGCGAGCCGTTTAAATGTTCGCAGTTGGTAAAAGAAGGTATCCTTTGTGACAGTCAAGGTCTAAGCGCGGAGGGGGAAGGTGAGGGATTCCGGTAGGAAACTAATCAGCGCTTATTGTGCTTAATTGGCAGCCTGTCAGCTCCTGAGCTGGGGAGCCCTGCCCCTTCTCTGCACAGCGAGAGGCAGGGAGGGATGCTTGTATCTGTGCAAACCTCACCGCCGTGCCTCCTGCTTCACCCAGCTGTCTACATGCGTTTTGTTTTGGCTGATGCCGAGAGGGGAAGAAAGGGGAAAGGCAGCAGCCGTGTAAATTGTACCCGTCTAACGCTTGTGCAGTGATGGAGGCCAAACGCGTGTGCTCTGGGAAGCTGGGGTCCAGCGGCTCCTCCTGCAGGGCTGCCAGTGCCAGGGGCTCTGTACACACTTCACACCCGTTTCGGCCCCCTGACAAGCAGCCCTTCCAGCTCTGCAAGGCCTGACCCAAGGCCAGGCACGGCCTCGAGTCCTGGTGGCCTCAGGGTGCAGAGGAGGGAGGCACATGTTGGCCCGGAGATGGTCCCTGCAGCAGGAGGGGACATCTCTTGCTCTCTCCTCTAATTGAGGCAAAGAATTTCGAAGGGGACAGGGCTGCAAAACTGGATTTTCACCTTGTTCCTCCTGCTGGGCTCACTTTCCACAGCTAAGGAAGGCAAACTGTACCAGTTAGCCTCTCTGGCATGAAGGAGGTGTACCGGCAAGTAAACAGCCACAGCTTCCCGGAGTCAGGGAGGGAGCAGGCAGAGATAAGCGCCTCCGCTGGAATGTCCCGTGTTCTGCCCAGCCTCCGTCACGCACAGGACCCAAAGCTCCTGGGGGTTGAGCTGTGGTGGGACCGGAGGCAGAAGGTTGTGCAAACCAGCAGCAGAGTGCAGGGGGTGCTTTGAGGAACAAGTCCTGTGCTGGAACAGTTTGGGACAGTGGGACCTGTTGGAGCCAGGCATAACAACGAAACTCGCCGGTGGCTCACGTAGGGTGTGAAGTCAGAGCAGACAAATCCCTGAGAATTCAGTTTGGTTTGCTCCTGAATCAATGTCTGTGCAGGAGCTTGATGTCACCCCTGTGCTAACCCATTCTACCTCTCCCAAGGTAACCACAGGCCAGTCTCCCTAAGATGCTGTTAGCCACACAGCAGCTGGGACTAGGCTGGATGCTGGCAACCTCACAGGATTAGGTTTTGTTGCAGAGTGCCATAGTGGCAGGCTCAGCACAAGTTTCTAAGAGGCATCTGCTTCTGGCTGTTCAGACCCTGTCCGGATCCGGTGGCCTCTCCCCTCTGAAGAAGGCTGGGGAGAGGGAGCATGTTACAGGGCAAATAAATGACTCAGACTAATGAGTAAGGTAATTGCCGTTCACTGTTAGACGAGGCTAAAGTGGGTCAGGTTTGTTTGTGAAACTCCACGGAGGCACCATCTGTTCCCTGCGCCCCGTCTCGGGGGCTGGAGGCAGGATTTGGGTGAGATGGCGTCCCCGGGAGCTGGGGGGAGATGTGTGGTCAGCAGGTGGTGGTGCGGGTCCCTGGAGATGTCCCGAGTGGCTGCAGGCTCTGCCCGCCTCCATCCTCCAACGGGGACTCGTAATTGATTTCACTGGGAGAGGGGACCCAAAGTCCTTTCTGAGGTTAGGCTTTGTGTCTCGGCTACAACTTCCCATCTATCAGATGAGGATGGACGGGACACTGAGGGGTCATTAGGCCTCCCGCAGCCCGAAGGCAGGGTTGGGTTTTCCCAAACTGTTTCTGACAGGTGCCTGTCTCACCTGCCACAAGCCCTTGGAGAGAAACCAGGCATGAACATAGCTCAAGCCTTAAAACCCCACAGCTCTCCCAGGTGTCCTCACATCTGTAAGCCTGTGGGGACAGCATTTCTTTCAGCTGTGACATGTCTGTGTGGCACCTGCTTTTAGTCCTGTCCCCTACCCCGTGCCTAACGAGCTGTCTCTTCTCTCAGACCACAGCATGTGAGCAGAAGGGGAAGCACAGAGAGGGATCTCGGCCTGCCCACGCTTGGACTTGACATTGCTGGGCCCACATCTTGCAGCAGGAGGAAGAGGAGAAGGCGGTTTGCTCACTGACACTAAAAATGGGAGGCGGCATCCATCCGGCAGACCAGGATCGGAAGCTCCAGAGCTCACCCGTGGGACATCTCTGGGATCGCCGGAGCGCCGCAGCCCTCTGTCCGTGAGGCTGTGGGGCAGCATGGCTCACAGAGCGGGGCTCAGCACGCTGCTGCACAGCCGCCGGGCCCAGCTCCTGCTGCTCAACTCCCTGACGTTCGGCCTCGAGGTCTGCCTGGCTGCCGGCATCACCTACGTGCCCCCGCTGCTGCTGGAAGTGGGCGTCGAGGAGAAGTTCATGACCATGGTTTTGGGTAGGCAGGTTCTCGCTCATCTTCGAGGGACTTGTTTCCGCTTCAAGGGGTAGATCAGAGCATGGAGGGGTGGCTGCAGGATGGCTGTTACACCAAGGGCAGCCTCGTGTTTGGAGGGGAGGGCTATGACCCAGTGAAGCTTACTGGGTCCCTGAAACATCCCAGGCTTTTGCTGCAGTGTGCATAGACCAGAGTCCTGTCCGGTTCTGCCCCCTAACACTACCTCTTCCTCTGTTCCAGGGATAGGACCGGTCCTTGGCTTGGTTTTTGTCCCACTGATCGGGTCTGCCAGCGACCACTGGCACAGCAGCTATGGCCGGAGGCGGCCTTTCATCTGGATGCTGTGCCTGGGAGTCCTGCTGAGCCTCTTCGTGATCCCGCACGCCAGCAGCCTGGCCAGCCTGTTCGCCCTCAACACTCGCCCGTTGGAGATCGCCTTCCTCATCCTGGGCATCGGGTTGCTGGATTTCTGCGGCCAGGTCTGCTTCACCCCGCTCGAGGCCCTGCTCTCGGACCTCTTCCAGGAGCCTGACAACTGCCGCCAGGCCTTCTCCATGTACGCCTTCATGATCAGCCTGGGAGGCTGCATTGGCTACCTGCTGCCAGCCATCGACTGGGGGGGCAGCTTTCTGGCCCCGTACCTGGGAGGGCAGGAGACGTGCCTCTTCAGCCTCCTGGCTGTCATTTTCCTCGGCTGTGTGCTGGCCACGCTCTTTGTGACCGAAGAGGCAGCCACCCAGGCAGATGCCCTGGATGGCGCAGCGCTGAAGGATGCTCTCCCAAAGCCCTCCCCTCCTGCCTGCTGCTCTTGCCAGCTCTCCAAGAGCCTCCTGCAGGCCAGGCACATGGTGCAGGCCCTCAGAAACCTCTGCACGCTGCTGCCGCGGCTTCACAACCTCTACTGCCGCATCCCCAGGGTCATCCGGCGCCTGTTCGTGGCCGAGCTCTGCAGCTGGATGGCACTCATGACTTTCATGCTGTTCTACACGGATTTTGTTGGGGAAGGGCTGTACCACGGTGTCCCCAGAGCCAAGCCAGGCACAGACGCCAGACGCCACTACGATGAAGGTGAGAAGTGAACTGCCTGCTCTGGGGCCTCAGGGTCTGTTCCCTGGGACAGGAGCGTTTAGTGGGAGCTAGGAACGGGCTCAGCTCTGCCTGTAATGCAAAAACTTGTTACAGGGAACTAGACCTTCTGCAGGTGGGTCAGGAAAAAACATTCCCCCATGACCAAGAGAGCATTGCACAGGGAAACACCTCGTTCTCCTCTGAGCTATGAGCACAGAAATAGATCTGGCAGCACAGCCCTGGCCTGGGGCTGAATTGTTAAGTGGCAGAATGGTCCGGCAGTTTGCATGCTGAACAGCACATACCTGGCTCTGTCTGCAAATGCTGACCACCTCTGCCTATGTCCTTCCTCTCCTCCTCCCTCCTTTTTAAAGGGGAGGTGATGGTTCCCCCAGTCTCTTGGAGGGCAGGGGATCGAAAAGGCTTTGCTACATCTGCCTTCCACACGACTGTGAGATTCCCTTCTCACATCTGTATCTGGGGAGCCCTGGAGCAGCTTCCCCAGTTCCCACCACTCTTTCCAGTGCTTCCTGTTACTGCTCACCATGAGTCAGGAGCTGCCACATGCCCACCATGAGATCCTGCTCACTCCAGCACGTTACCTGCTTACTGTTGCCTGCTGTCCTCATTTTGGCTGCTGTGTTGTGCCAGAGCCTTGACTCCACTGCCCAGCCCTTCTTTCCCTCCCCTAGATCCAAGTCCTTTATTCCTGGAGGCATTCCCCTGGCCCTCCTCTAGCTGTATACCCTGCCCTCTGAGTTTTCCACTCAGTTCAGTGCCTCCGTGAGCTCTGCAGTACACTGCCTCTTTGTGCTGTGCCTCTGTTTAACTTAGAGGGAGCTTAATTATTATTTAACACTTCCACTGTATAGCTTCCAGCAGGTCAGGGCTCCATTGTGCTAGCACTCATAGAAACACATGATGAGTAATGATCCTTGCTCCAAGGAGTTAATGGGTTTAATTCCCTGAAATCTGATAGATCTTTGCAAAGGGTAAGGTCCGGATTGCTGCCGGATGCTGCCGTCGCTCAGTGGATGTTGTATACTTTCCCTTGGCTGAAGCACAGTTTCTTGTTGTTCCTTTTGTTCTCCCGCTGGTTTTGGCATCAGATAACAGATCCTGGTTCATGAGCAGGTGACACAGATCCTGATCAAGAGCAGGAAGGTGAGAACCAGAGCTTTCCAAGAGAAGAACGGCGTTTGCGTTTCTGTCTCCCCCTCTCATCGCCCCTCTGGCCTGAGTTGGGCACTGGAGGGAGGAATGAAGCCCGAAGGCGCTTGGCTGTCTGAAGGCCTGGGCGCAGTCGTGGCAGTGTCCGTCACCACCTCTGCTTACCCACAGGTGTCCGGATGGGTAGCTTGGGCCTCTTCCTGCAGTGCGTCACGTCCATCTTCTTCTCGACAATCATGGACCGGATGGTGAAGCGCTTTGGGACGCGGGCGGTCTACCTGGCCAGCGTGGTGTTCTTCCCCGCCGCTGCCTTCGTCATGTGCCTTTCCCGCAGCGTCATCGTTGTGACCGTCTCAGCTGCTCTCACGGGCTTCACCTTCTCTGCACTCCAGATCCTGCCATACACGCTGGCATCGCTCTATCATCATGAAAAGCAGGTAGGGACCTGCTCCAGAGGGCGACAGCTTGGGCAGCCTCTTCAGCTGCTTGTAGCTGCCCCAGTCAGCTCAGGCCATGGCAGAGAAAGACCTGCCTGTGTTCAGAGGTTCTTCTTGTGTGCCTCGTGTCTCCAGGCTGCATCTTCTCTGAAGATTTATCTGGAATTGAGGAGAGAAGAGAGTTTAGCATCTCCTTCCCTAGGCATTCCTTGCTCACAAGAAGCATTTTGCAATTTTAAATGGTGGGGAGTGGGTGAGATGGGAGAAAGCTAGGATTAGTGCACCAAAAGGGATGCCCTATGGTCCTCCGTGTTTTGCAAACATTTAGGGAAACTGGTGCAGATTAGGTGTTGCCATGTGTTTCTGCAGCTAAGTCACATCTGCAGAATTGCCATTTAGCCCAAGGTGCTAAAACAGGTGTGAAGTCCTGCTTTTGAGTTTTGGTCCGTAACATGAAGAGCAGTAAAATAGGAAGATTTTTCCTGATCCCCTAGCTCCATTAAAAACAAACCTTGAGAAACATTTGCCATAACACAAAAGCCAGTAATCCTGTCCCACAGATGATATCCTTGTGGCAAAGTCTCGGGAGGTTTCTGAGTTGCGCAGTGGATTAATAGCAGTTTCTCTTGTGCTGCAAATGCAAAATTAATTTGTGGTTTGAGAGCAGCTCTTTCATCCCGATGGCAGGCGGTTCACTGTGCAGTGAAATAAGCAGGAGTCCTTACCACAGGCATCCAGATGTTCACATTGAACAAATACTTATGACCAACCCGTCCTGATTTGCACCAGGCACCCCGTTAAAATAGGGGCATGAGGGAGTGTTCTGCTTCGCAAAAGCTTCGGCTTGCCTGGGATCTCCCATGGACATAACATGGAGAGAATGAAAACCAAAGCCCACAGGCTGGGAGTGTGAAGGCCACACGCCCAACTGTTTGCCAAAATCTTGCTGGGGAACAACTCTCAGTACAATGAGGTGTGGGGTATAGCAGGGTTTGGTCTTTCTGTTGCCCTGACTTTAAAGCTTCTCCTTCCTCTACGAAGAACTTTCCAGGGAGACCCCACAAGAAGCAGTCCCTCAAATGCCATTTGCAGAAAATTCTCCATCTTCTCCACTTCTATTCTTTTCTCTTCTCTTACTGTTGAAATCTGTCATCATTTTTGTTTGCCTTCCCTCGTTCCTGCTTCCTCTCTTCCCTCTATTCTTTTTTTTTTTTACCTTTTTTTTTTAATTTCAAATGCTCCTCCTGAAGTGAATCAGCAGAGGGGCATCCAGAGTGGCTGTTGCTTCCACCCTGTGCGGAATCGTTGGCAAAAGCCTGCAAGGCCACCCCAGCTGGAGCTCCTTGCTTTGCACAGGCTCTGTAAGTCGCTCCATTCTCCTGCATGCCCTCTTCATCTCTGCATGGCCACTAAACCTTGTCTAGAGCAGGAGGGAAAGATCTGCATGTCCTAACAGCACCTCAAAGCTAGCTCTGGTGAGATGCGTGGTGAACATTCACACCTTCTGCATGAGATTAGGGAGAGGTAGGTTCCTCATTCCCACCACTCCCCGCCAACTATAGAGGGAGATGAAGCTGCTGATTGAGGCACCAAAGACTCTTGGGGTTTATCCTGCATTACGCAGGGTGATCTTAAAGGATGTGTTCTCACTATGCTCATTCAAGTGAATATCTGATTAAGTCATTTTCTCGAGATGCAATTTCTGTGAACTAGGTACTCAGACATCTGAGTAGAGCCCAGGGAAAGCTTTTGGAACCTGGCTCCCATTTAGTGAAGTTCTCATCTGGTTTCTCTTCTCTGATTGAACCTGAAACTGTTTGTGTTCCAGAACTGCAGCCATGGCCTGGGGCAGCACGAACAGAGACTGCCGGGTGCTGACATATGCTGGGGCAGGGCTGGGTGTAGCTGGGTGGGTGCCAAAACTGCTGAAAGCTCTGGGATGGCCCACGACAGAGCTGGAGTGCCCACTCCTGCCCCTGTTCCCTCCTGTGACCCGTGTCCTTGCCCCTCCTGCAGAAGGAAGGGTTCCTTAAGGATGCTCCTCTGAGCCCTGCAGCTGGGTGCAGTGTTCTCTGCCCTCAGAGAGGTGCTGTTTTTTCCTTTTGGTTTCTTTGTTTGTTCTATCTCATTGTGCGGATAATAGATTAACGTCCTTCATTATTTGCTCTACGCCGGACAGATCAGTGCTTGTGCAAACGCCCTGGAGTTATCAAGCTGGGGTGTTTTTGCCATCTGCACACCACTGCCCCTTATTTATTGGCATTAACATGGGGAGCTTTTTGATCCAAATACTCTCCATGAACACTGCTGGAGTGAACCATGCCCCCAAAATCTCACAGCCTGGGCAAAGTGAGGCCCAAAAAAATGGTGAGAAGATAAAGATTTTCCTTCCCCCGCTTTTCCAGCTTGAGTGGGGAGGCTCAGGTCAGGCAAATGAAGCAGCTCGCTTGAGGTCACGCGTGCAGGGTCTGCTGCAGAGCTTCTTCCTGAGGTCCCAGCTCTGTATCTGCCCTCAGTGTCACTGTAAGTGTCCTGGGTACTGAGAAGGGGCCATGCACCCAGGGCTCTGAGCAGTTCTTCAGTCTTTAGGGCTGTTCTGCAGCAGTGTTTTGAGTCCCCAGCCCACCACCTTACAACCGCTCGTGTTGGCACTGACTCTGGGATGTGTCCAAAGCGGGCTCTGGCCCTGTGAGCCTGCATCAGCTGCTTTTGGGTGGAGTGGAGTGGAGCTGGCACCCAGGGAGGAGGTGACGACCCGGGGCTTGGAGCAAAACATCCCCAAGTGCAGAGCCTGGGCTGGCGCTGGCTGCGGTGCTGTGCTGTGCCGTGGAGCTTGAACACAACAAGGGCACCTCTTGGCCAGTTTCCTCGGTGAGTCAGGGTTGCTTTGAGTCCTGTGCCAGTCAGGAAGAGCCAGGCTGGCTCCTGGAGGCCACCACATGTGGGCCAGGCTCACTGCAGGCTCCGCACCTCCAGCACACAGAGGTCAGAGTGGTTTTGCTCTCGCACGCAGCAGGGACCCCCGTCCCCCTCCTCACTTTCTGGGCACCACCCTTCCTACTCATTCCTCACGTGCCCTTCTTCTTTCCCCAGGTATTTTTGCATAAATTCAAGAGCAAAGAGGAGGAAGATCCAGCTCGACTGGACAAGAAATCGGCCTTCCCTAAAAGCCTTTCCAGCCAGAAGCTGACTTACCAGAACGGACATGCTGGGAGCCTCTACTCCTCCTCCTCCTCCTCTTCCTCCTCCTCCTCTTCCTCTCCTCCTCTGGCTGCCAGCTCAGCTCTGTGCGTCAGCTCCTCCTGCGACGTCTCGCTGATGATGATGGTGGGAGAGCCGGACTCGGTGGCTCCTGGCCGAGGGATCTGCCTGGACCTGGCCATTTTGGACAGTGCTTTCCTTCTCTCTCAGGTTGTCCCCTCCCTCTTCATGGGGTCCATCGTGCAGTTTACGCAGTCGGTGACTGCCTACATGGTGTCGGCTGCTGGCTTTGGCCTGGTGGCCATCTACTTTGCAACCAAAGTTGTCTTTGATAAGAGTGACATGGCCAAGTATTCGGTGTGATGGGGAATGCCCAGGGGCAGCACGCGGGTGCCTTCACGTGGTGAAACGAGCCTCGTGTTGTGTGTGCTCTCCCCACGCTGCTGCTGGGCCGCCCGGGGGGTTGCTCTAGGCCGGGGGCAGGAGGCGTGCAGCAGAGCTAATCTCAGGTGTAAATACGAGGCATCGGGGCATTGTGCTTCAGGCCAGCAGTGCTCTCCACATGGTGCCTTTATCAGATGAAAGCACTGCACAGCCAGCACCAAAGGAGATTGTACAGGGGGACAGAATGGAAACGGACTTTTCCTTTAATAACGGGTCACGTTTCCATCGTGTTTCTACCTAAACTGAGCAGGAGAGGCAGTGATATGGGAGGGGAGGAAGAAATCACTGGCTCTCCTGTTTCCCAGCTCTAGATGTGTCCTCTTACCCTGCTTGTTGTAATTTTACTCAGCTTCTTGAGTAACACTTCAAACAGGGCACTGGGAGGAGATTTCCTTGGGAAAAGGATGGGTGGCTGAGGTTGGGTCATGGAGCAAAGGGGTGCGCATGTGCACACGCGTGCTTCAGTCTCCCTTCTGACTGGGAGAAACCCTTTAGGAGAAAAGTTACTCTGCCTTGTTTGGGAAAAACAAGTGACGTTTCACTAGGACCAATTCCAAAAGGTGACTTATCTTTTACATATGTACCAAGTTTCAGCAGATGAGAAGGACTTCTTAATTTATTTTTTTTTTCCTGGATGATTGTTTTTAGCTTCCCTTACAGTTCTCAGTAACAGATCTCTCACTCCTCAGGGCCCGGAGCAGCCACCTGTTCTCTCCCAGTGCCTCCCAGCAGATCTGGGCTGGTGTGCCTCTTCCACACCTGACCCCTGAAAGATGCTGCAGTACCACAAGGGGGTTTTCAGCCCTGTAACAGTGAAGTAGAACAGACAGAGCTCTCCTGGAAGCTCTCCTAGGCTGGAGGAAGCTGCAGGGATTGCTTGTCCACCGACAGCCAGCTGAACTGGGCAGCAGTCGCTGCTGTACTAGCTACCTCGTGTTGCTCGCTGGCTGTGTCTGTGTTCCTTCGAGGAGGTGGCCCCAAAGCAGCCTTCCAGACCAGACCCTTTCCAAACAGAAGGGCTTTTGGCTGTGCTTGCAGGCTGGCAGGAGTGTGTGTGCAGAGCACAGCTGCATCGCGGTGCCCTGGTGAGTTAAAGCATTGCCAGCGCTCCCAAAGCAGCTGCTGGAAACAGCATCATGAACACTCCAGTCCGCTGCTTTGAGAACAGGGCAAGCCTAGTTCTTGGTGTGTTGGATGAAGGAAGGAGCAGAACAGAAACTCTCGGTGCTGTTTGTGCCTGTGGTTTGCTGATCCAGATTACACGTTTACTATGTTACGCTTGTTTTGGCCTTTTTTTTTTTTTTTTAAATTTCCAGAGGTCAAGATCCTTACTGAGGCGCAGCATAAACACAGTTACCTGTGAGAGTAAGGCAGAGTGCCTGCTGCACCGGGACCGATGCTGCTGCCTTGTTTAGGTTGGGCAGCCCTCAGACTGTGAGTCATCTGCCCTGGCAGATGAGCAGCTGCAGCTGTGTGTGCTTCTGGCCAGCCCCATGCCTGCTGCGAGTGGACCAGCTGCAATAATTATGCAGATAGAAGATCTCTGCCACTTGGAGATTCCTCATTCACCAAGTAGGAGTCCAGGTCCTGGCCCCCAGTCAGCACTTAGGCTTTGAAATGCACAGAGAAAAGCATGAGCTGGGCATTCGGAGGCTAGGCTGAGAGCATGCAGGAGTTCGTCAGTCCTTAATTTTGGCTGGTCTAAACAAAGTGTTTGTGAGTAATTTTCTGTGGAGGTGTGTGGGCAGTGAGATGCACTGGTGAGGTTCTGCTAAGGGCAAAATGTTGCTATTTTTGGGAGGTCGTGTCAGACCATTCCTTGGCATGGAAGCCAGGTTACTCCCCTGCTGTCTGCAGACGGGTCCTGAGAGAGCTTCTCCTAAGTGTTTTTAAAGTATCTTTCCTGTAAAGGGTGACTGTTTTTGTTGTATTTCTTCTCAAATTATATGCCTACCGGCCTCCCTTTCCCACAACAAGGTCTGTGTGCTGACTTGCAGCTGTTCGGGGGATGGATCTGGTGGCTGCTTAACCACCTACGGAAACAGTTTTTCATCTGCACTTCCTACCCTGGTCTCTGTCCACTTCGGGCTTCGGAAGGAAGTTTTTGAGGCAAAACATTGCCAACGGTGGGGTGTTGCTGGGACGAGTGCTCCTAGCGATCAGTAACCTCTGACCAAGATTTTTCAAACCGGTCCCCACCTGAATGCTGGAATCTCTTGCCATTTGCCTAAGTGCCTGTAGAGTACTTCCACACCAACCTCAGGTCTACTGGTCTGGTGATGAAGGCCTTGAATGCTTCATTAGGAACATCCCGGTGATCCCTGAGGAAGCAGTGGGCTCAGGAGGGTGTCAGCCTTGTTTTCTAACATCTTTGGGTTTGGAACATGAGAGAAAAAGATGCTGCAGTTATTGATCGGTGGCTGTGAGAGCCAAGCTGGGGACAGAGGGGAGCGGGGCGAGCATCTTCTGTGATCTGGGGCTCTTTTTGTGAACCTGTGGGCGAGGGATGGCCGTGTCGATGCTGGGTTTCTTTGGAGATCGCGTACTGTCTGCGAGGCGCGGCTGTTTTATTTATTCAGTAGAGTAAATATTTTGTATACGATGTCAGAGGATGGCTATAATAAATTTATATGAAACCGAGGAAATAAAAAGCGCTCAAACTGCCCAGCGGTGTGTGTCCCTATAGGGGTCGGGGCGGGGGCGAGCCGCCAGGGGGAGCCTCCAGCGAATTTGGGGCTGGGGCTGGGATCCGGGGTTGGGGCTGGGGTCCGGGGCTGAGCACGGCTCTCGGAGCCATCCCACTCACCTCCTCGTCAGCCGAATGTGCGCAGCTGTGCCCCGGGACTCGATCCCAGGTGGGGATGCACATCCCATCCTGCTCGCCCCGCCGGGTGCTGTGCGCACGCACGGGGGTCGCTCCCCGCTGCCCCCAGCAGCTGCGCGAGGTGGTTGGTGTCAGCCAGCCCCGGGGGGGCTGAACCCGGCAGCATCGCAGCAGGCAGAGCCTGAGGATTGCGAAGAGCTGAGGCTTCCCCCGGCCCCGAAGGAATCGGAGTAACAGCAGGATTTATTCTGAAGGTGAAGCTGGGACACGGGTGAGTGACACCGGAGGCGCACCGGTGGGCAGTGGGCTGCCCCTTCCAGGTGACCACGCACCTTTGTTGTTTGCTTTGGGGTCTTGGGTTGTGCCGTTTTGTTTTGTTCTCCAAATATGAAACCTTACTCTGGCGAGGGAGAGTTTTTATTCAGGCTCCAATCCTCGTGTTTCTAACAAAGCAGAGAAATTTCGCGTTCGTTTCCTTGGCTGTACAGTGCCTGCTGCAGCCACTAAGTGTCCTCCTGTCGCTTCTGAGCAGGCTGCAGCAAGGAACTCCCTCTTCCTATAAGGGGCACTGTCTGCCTCAGAAACGCTCTGCTTGCAAATATTTAACCCCAGAGCACCGTCACCACCAAACCCTGGGTGTGCTTTGAGAGCGGAGGCAGACCCGATTCCCCGCCCTGTGCACGGGACAGCACGCTCACAGGTTTCTGTTTCTTATCCTCCTGCTTTAATTTTTGTCGTAGGGCACGTGGATCCTGCACTGCAATGAGCACCAGTTCAGAATGACCCCGTGAGCCTGGAAAGCCATCTCTGCTGGCAGAGGAACGCTGCCTGCTACCTGAAACGTTTTTTTTTTTCCTGAAACGTTGAAGGAATGTCCCCCTGCAGGTCTCCTGAGCCCCTCCTGAGGCAGGAGAGTCCCCTCAGACCTCCTCGGCTGGGCTGCTCCATTTTGGGGACCCGCAGGGAGTCGCATCCCGCCGTGCTGGCTGGGGCCGGACCCACGAGTGCCGCAGGGAGCCCTGCAGACAAATCTGGGGCAGAAAAATGCAGCGATGTCTGCATATTTCTCCATTCCAGCAATGGCCTGGCTTATGTTTCCGTCGGGGTCAGGGATGGTGGAGAGTGCACGGACCAGAAGAGGTCCAGATGGCTCCTGTCTCCCACGAGGAGCCGGGGCTGCTCTGAGCAGTGGCGGCCGCCCCGCGTGTCAGCGTCCCCTGCGCCTGCGTCCTCCCGGAGGGTCACCGTCCCCGGGCACCCACACTCGCAGGCTGGCTTTCAGGCCAGACTCTGCCAACAATCTTTTTTTTTTTTTTTTCCCTTTCTTTTTCTTTTTTTTTTTTTTCTTTTTTTAAATAATTAATAATGCTCAGCAAACACCCCCACGGGTGGAGGTCCATAGACAAGCGGTGTTCAGCCAGGTTTGACCCAGGCAGCGCCGTGCTCACGGCATGCTTTCATCCCAGAGGGGAGAGAACAACGCCGTGTGCTGCTGCAGGACCCCGGCAAGGCTCCCGCTGCTCCTGGAGCCAATCTTTCCCGACCTCTTCCCCTGCTTTCTTGCCTCCTGTTGAAGGTCTGCCTTGGGACAAGTCCTCTGCCCTAGTGGAGCTGGAAGAGCTGCTCAGAAAACAGGAAAACATTTGACCAGGAAAACGCAGTGAGACGTTCCCTTATTCTGCAATGTTTGTTGTTTTAGACTCTCCCCGCCAAGTGGCTCCAGGCGAGCAGCAGCCTCCCTGGTGCCCCCGAGCCCTGGGAGAATCCCAGACCCCCCCCAGCCAACCCGGCCTGGCCCAGCCTCAGCACCCACGGCAGAAGCAGGACAGCGTGGCGTTGCGGCCCAGATGCCAAACTGGCTGCTAATGAGAGGCCAGGGGTGACGAGGAGGCTCGGCACAGCGCCCTGCCACCCCGTGCCGGCATCCCGCCCGCTCTCCGCCCTCCCCCCCGGCAGCGGGGCCGCTCCGCTTCCCCACGCGCGGGTGGTAAACTGAGGCAGGGCAGGGTGTCTCCCCTCAGAGGTGAGAATCACTTCTGCCAGAGCTTTGGATGTGGCCAGGCTCTCCACACCGTGCCCCCACCCAAGGCAGGTTGGTCACCTCCATGGGCACATCGCAGGGAAGCACCGGGCTGGGCTCCGTGTGGCTCCTGGGGATGCTCCAACCCTTCTGAGTCAAGCACAAGCAGCTGGAGCTCAGGCTGAGGGGATAGAGGCTTCTTGGGGCTCTGGAGGAAAATATCCAGCAGGCAGTGGTGGAGGAATGGACTGGGCATCGTCCCCCTGTGACTGTCTCACCCCTGCTCCAGAATTGCAGCACCCACCGGGTGAGGCAAAGTTGCCAGCAAGCGAGCCCGGCACTGTGTCCAAGAAATATCCCAAGAAATAGCTTCTGGGAGGGAGAAAGCAGAGTGCCTCTGCCCGCTGGGATGGGTAAAAGCAGTCCGGGGACCAGCCGGGCTGGAGCTGTGCCAGCCCCAAATGTGCGCCTGGCTGGGGAGGAGGTCTTGGGGGTGCAGCAGGACACGGGGTGGGGATCCCCGCAAAGAAGCAGAGCTGCCTGCCTTTGGGGACTGGAAGCAGAGAGCAGCAGGAGCTGCTGGCAGCCGGAGAGGCAGGCTCGTGTTGTGTTTGGCTCCGGGTGCTGCCAGGGAGAAGCCAAGGAGCTGCAGAGGGAACTGCTGCCAAAGCAGCAGCCACGCAGCGGGGAGGGAGCACCCCTGGGTGCTGCACGGGGACACGGCACCGCCACAGTGTGGGGTGAGCCACGGACAGGAGGTGTTCCCATCACGTAAGGACCAGCTCTGCCCTCGCACAGCCCCGTCCTGCACCCGTCTCTGTGCCCTGGGAGCCTCCGGGGTGACCCTGCTATGGGGATGGGTGCGAAACGGAGCCCGCCGGGGTCCAGCACTTTGTGGGGTGGGCTGGCAGCTCGGTGTGGTGGCAGTGGTGCTGGCAGGGGGATGAGCAGGAGGGAAAAGCAGCCAGGAAACAAGATAGGACCTTGCCCTGCCTTCGCCCCGAGCTGCCAGGCAAGCCTCCTGCCTGCAGGCATGGAGGATGGGGAGGTCTTGTGTTTACTCCTCCAAAAAAGAGACCTTTCGCCCCAAAACCAAACCTTTTTGTTGTGCAAATGCAGCCGTCTGGCAGGTTTGGTCGTATTCAGGAAACTTTGAACCCAAGGGCCGGGGCTGGTTTCATTTTGAGGTGAGTTTTTCAGTTCGTGGTGGTATTTGGAAACTGAGCTGCTTTCCAAATTTGGAGCCTGTGTTTTTGCAAGCTGCTGAGCATGGCCGTGGAGTCCAAGGCTTCCCCCTGTCCCTCCCGTGCGGGCAGCCTGGTTTGGACGGAGCCACTGTCGCCGTCCCTCTCCCTTTCCTCTGCAGAACTTTGCCAAGCCGGGGGTGAAGGAGCTGCCGACGGGGACGGGTGCCCGTGGTGGGAGGGCTGAGCCCCTGAAAGAGCCCTGGGGGGACAGGGAAGGGGCAGAGGAGGACGAGGCAAAGCTCCCTTGTGCACCACACAGCAGAGTCAGGAACTCGCTGCTCCCACGTGGGGCTCACCAGGTTGATCCTGCCAGCAGCCCCAGAGCCCAGAAACATGAGCAACTTGAGCAACGTGAGCTCCAGGCCCTGTTTTCAGCTGGGGCCGCAGGAGATGGGTGTCCTCACGCTCACCTCCTCCTGCTGCATCCATCGAGATGGGCGAGGGGGAGCCCTGGGACCTGCTCCCACGTCCTGCTTTTCCTCTGCTCAGCAGGGTGGGGACTCCAATGCCTTCCTGGATGTGCTCTCAGCATGTCCTGCACCTCCTGGGCCAACGCACTGACTGCTCTGCCTCCATCTCCCCCTTCTAGGGGGGCTATGAGGGGCTCTCCCCGCAGGCTGATGCCCAGCCTGACGGCACTCAGGGCGAAAACACACTAACCATGGCCCGCAGATAGCCTTGGGGCTGGAGTGTGGGTCTGGATGCCTACACTGCTCCATCACAGCCTCAGGGCTCTCCCTGTCCCTCCGCAGTAGCAGTACAAAGGGACAATTGCTTCCTCCAAAGGTCCCACGGCGCGGTGCCCCCAGCACCCACGGACACTGCCCTGCCACCCCGGGCTGCGGACCCCTGAGTCATGGAGCCACCACAGGGCCACCTCCATCCAGCCGATCCCTCCTCCGTGGCATCCTGCAGGCGCTGGCAGAGGCGCTGGGCGAGCCCAGGCGGGCCTTTCCCCGGACCAGCCCAGGCTTGAGCGTCAGGGCTGCGCACAAGCGGGAGTAAACAGCAAGCGGGAACGCGCGGAGCCGCCGCCGCGCGCGCCAGGCTCACGGGGACGGGATGCCGACCGTGCCAGGGATGGCCACCAGCAGAGGTACCAGTCCCGCGCCATTTCCCCTCTCCTTTGCCAGATGTGAATGTGCTGGGATGCGTGCGGTGGGGAAAGGAGCGTGGATGCTCCTGTGCTGTGGCACGGCGCGGGCAAACCCTGACCCGCGGACCTGGGGTGGGCTGCAGGGGATGGGGCAGGATCCGTGCATGTGTCCTGTCCTGGGGAATTCCTGTCCTGTCCTGGGGAACTCCTGTCCTGCACTGGGGACCCCATGCCTTGGTTTTGCAGCCTGGCAAGGCGCGGGTGGGCACCAGGAGCTGCTCCCAGTGCTGCCAGCAGCGCCTTCCTGGCCCTGCGAGTGGAGGTCCTGGCAGCACCAGGCACCTTTGTGCTCTGCCTCTGCCCTCAGATTTGCATCCCAGGGTGGGAGCAGAGCCCGGTGGGGCTATTGGTGATGGTTTGGGAGCTTTAGGGGGCTGACCAGGTGCTGCCCTAGTGCTGCTTGCAGCAGGAGTGTGGC